TCACGTGACCGCGAGCTTTTGTGACGTTGGAGTTCAGAGGGAGCTTAACGTGGGTTCGTGGTTAAATCGAGCTTTCGCGACGGCATGGATTTTGGGCGGCTCTGGAGATTCGTTCGACAACCGGGAGACCGCTTCTACGGAAGCAAAAAATGACAGGTCACGTGATCGAGAGCTTTTCGCACGTGGGCGATAAAGCACAGCTTGCGCTATGCATCCCTCGAATTTCAGCTTTCTGCGACTGCTGCATTTGGCTAAAATCGCAAAAACTAACCGAACATTTAAACGCTTGGTACAGGAGAACCACTGGTCACGTGACCGCGAGCTTTTGTGACGTAGGAGTTCAGAGGGAGCTTAACATGGGTGAGTGGTTAAATCGAGCTTTCGTGGCTGGATGAATTTTGGGCGGCTCTGGAGGTTCGTCTGGCAACCGGGAGACCGCTTCCGCGGAAGCAAAAAATGACAGGTCACGTGATCGAGAGCTTTTCGCACGTGGGCGATAAAGCACAGCTTGCGCTATGCATCCCTCGAATTTCAGCTTTCTGCGACTGCTGCATTTGGCTAAAATCGCAAAAACTAACCGAACATTTAAACGCTTGGTACAGGAGAACCACTGGTCACGTGACCGCGAGCTTTTGTGACGTAGGAGTTCAGAGGGAGCTTAACATGGGCGAGTGGTTAAATCGAGCTTTTGTGGCTGGATGAATATTGGGCGGCTCTGGAGGTTCGTCTGGCAACCGGGAGACCGCTTCTGCGGAAGCAAAAAATGACAGGTCACGTGATCGCGAGCTTTTCGCACGTGGGCGATAAAGCACAGCTTGCGCTATGCATATGTTGAATTTGAGCTTTTCACGACACCTGCATTTAGGTAAAATCGCGAAAAACAAACCGAATATGTAAACGCCTGTTAGAGGAGAACCACTGGTCACGTGACCGCGAGCTTTTGTGACGTTGGAGTTCAGAGGGAGCTTAACGTGGGTTCGTGGTTAAATCGAGCTTTCGCGACGGCATGGATTTTGGGCGGCTCTGGAGATTCGTTCGACAACCGGGAGACCGCTTCTACGGAAGCAAAAAATGACAGGTCACGTGATCGAGAGCTTTTCGCACGTGGGCGATAAAGCACAGCTTGCGCTATGCATCCCTCGAATTTCAGCTTTCTGCGACTGCTGCATTTGGCTAAAATCGCAAAAACTAACCGAACATTTAAACGCTTGGTACAGGAGAACCACTGGTCACGTGACCGCGAGCTTTTGTGACGTAGGAGTTCAGAGGGAGCTTAACATGGGCGAGTGGTTAAATCGAGCTTTTGTGGCTGGATGAATATTGGGCGGCTCTGGAGGTTCGTCTGGCAACCGGGAGACCGCTTCTGCGGAAGCAAAAAATGACAGGTCACGTGATCGCGAGCTTTTCGCACGTGGGCGATAAAGCACAGCTTGCGCTATGCATCCCTCGAATTTGAACTCTCTGCGACAGCTGCATTTGTCTAAAATCGCAAAAAAACAATCCGAATATTTAAACGCCTGGTACAGGAGAACCACTGGTCACATGACCGCGAGCTTTTGTGACGTAGGAGTTCAGAGGGAGCTTAACGTGGGTGAGTGGTTAAATCGAGCTTCCGTGGCTGGATGAATTTTGGGCTGTACTGGCGGTTCGTTTGGCAACCAGGAGAGCGCTTCTGCGGAATCAAAAAATGACAGGTCACGTGATCGCGAGCTCTTCGCACGTGGGCGATAAAGCACAGCTTTCGCTATGCATTTGTTAAATTTCAGCTTTCTACGACACCTGCATTTGGGTAAAATCGCGAAAAACAAACCGAATATTTAAACGCCTGGTACAGGAGAACCACTGGTCACGTGACCGCGAGCTTTGGTGACGTAGGAGTTCAGAGGGAGCTTAACGTGGGTGAGTGGTTAAATCGAGCTTTCGTGACTGGATGGATTTTGGGCGGCTCTGGTGATTCGTTCGGCAACCGGGAGACGGCTTCTGCGGAAGCAAAAAATGACAGGTCACGTGATCACGAGCTTTTCGCACGTGGGCGATAAAGCACAGCTTAGGCTATGCATCTGTTGAATTTGAGCCTTTTACGACACCTGCATTTGGGTGAAATCGCGAAAAACAAAGCGAATATGTAAACGCCTGGTACAGGAGAACCACTGGTCACGTGACGGCGAGCTTTTGTGACGTAGGAGCTCAGAGGGAGCTTAACATGGGTGAGTGGTGAAATCGAGCTTTCGTGGCTGGATGAATTTTGGGCTGTCCTGGAGGTTCGTTTGGCAACCGGGAGAGCGCTTCTACGGAATAAAAAAAGGACAGGTCACGCGTTCGCGAGCTTTTCGCACGTGGGCGATAAAGCACAGCTTGCGCTATGCATCCCTCGAATTTGAGCTTTCTGCGACAGCTGCATTTGTCTAAAATCGCAAAAAAACAATCCGAATATTTAAACGCCTAGTACAGGAGAACCACTGGTCATATGACCGCGAGCTTTTGTGACGTAGGAGTTCAGAGGGAGCTTAACGTGGGTGAGTGGTTACATCGAGCTTTCGCGACGGCATGGATTTTGGGCTGTACTGGCGGTTCGTTTGGCAACCAGGAGAGCGCTTCTGCGGAATCAAAAAATGACAGGTCACGCGATCGCGAGCTTTTCGTACGTGGGCGATAAAGCACAGCTTGCGCTATGCATCCCTCGAATTTGAGCTTTCTGCGACAGCTGCATTTGGCTAA